TTGCTCATACAATTCAAATGCATACAATCCTTATCTTACCCATTGAAAAACTCATTCGTCTACATTAAAGCACATGAGTACACCATGCAACATTAAATACACTAGTGCTCACTTCCTGCTAGAGCCAATGATTTGAAACCTTTCCTTCTTCCAGGTTTGGTTTGATACTACATTTAGTCACAAAATACATCTACATCTCCTCTTTTGAGCTCAGGAGGCTTTCTTATTGAATAATTTAACTTTAGAATAAATTATCAATGATAAGCTTCTTCTAAAGAATAAAATATCGCAATAACCCCTAGCCTTACCAGTTCTCTGCCCCAAAGCATTTTGTCATGTGAAGGTAACTCTTTGACCTGGATAATGACCTAGTTGTCTGCACTTCGGGGAGGCCATCCCTTTCCTCTTAAAATGCCAACTTTCTGATAACAGCTGGGTACGGGACAACATTTAGATGTCCAGCATGTAATATGTGATTGTGAGACGCTAGAATGAGTGTTTTCAAGAATTTTACCGTTCCCAAGAGAGGAGATATTATTGAATTCATAATATTTACTGGCTTACACATGTTCCAAATATAGTACACATTCTAATTTTCAGAAGCAAGCATATATATATATATATAATTATATAATTTCTACTTGCCATTAGGTATGTAACACATATACGTCAAGTAATATCTAAATCAGTCCTGGAACGCCACTACAATCCCTCTGTCAGCAAGTTGGCCATTTGTCCTCTGATCTGAATAGTAAAAACAGCCCCAGTGTTTGTGAGTGCCATAAGCACTAAGCTTTAATTAGAAAGAATGCCACTGAAAATAAAGTCAAGATGATGAAATGACGAGCACGTATTTGAGTACATGCCACCAGCTAATCTCCTTTGTGTAGAGGGCAGATGTGCATATTATAACTATTACGATGTCATTTTTTTTTTGATTCTGTAGCGATATCACTTCTAAAAGAAACCTATCCAAGGACAAAAAAATTCCATAGTGGAGAGAAACATCTAAAAACATTATCTAGAGAGATTAAAGCATGATCTTTAGATATCTAAAAGCATTATCTAAAGATATTAAATCTTTGTTACAAACCTGGTTGTTTTTTGCTAGCTTCCAGGATGGTCTCCTGACTCAAGGTAAACCCGTGTGCAGCAGAGTGAAGTGCTGCCTGGTGCTACCCCTTCACTCTGTTGGTTTTCAGTGAAAAATATTGTGATCCACAGGGCTTTCCTCGGCTAGTTTCAGAAGTAGCGTAACATCCAGACCTCTCTTCCTGTTGCTAGGTGCCACCATGCCCATTGGGAGTCACAGTGACTGTGCACCATAGAATGAGACGGTGTCTGGTTCTGTGCCATCCTCCTAATTGTCCTAATGTCTGAGCCCATCCTTGCAGCCACTGTCAGTCCACCCCATTGAGGGCCTTCCCCCTTTCCCCTGCCCCTCCACTTAGCGTGCTTGATGTCCTTCTCCAGGAAGCCTTGGTTTAGAAGTTCTGCTGAAACCTGTTCAGCCGTGTAGCCACACACAAGCCCTCAGTGACAGATGGTCTGTAACAGGTTCATTGGCAGGGAATCAACCCGATTTCCTGCATGGAACGCAAACGTTCTACCGCTGAACCACCCCTGTCTTCCCTTCACTAAGGCTTCTGAATCAGATGCTGCATTTATCTTTGGCATTTGAAGATAGGCTGCATGCCAAAGCTTTGGCACCCAAATGCAAAACATCTCTGGCCCATGAATTAAGATTCTAAAGTAGGAAATGACCTGAGTTTCTATGAAAAGATGACCTTTGGCTTTTGAGCATAGTTAAATAAAATACAAAATAATTGCATTTCAAAAGTAACATAAGTAAATTACACCACCTTACCAAAAATAAAAAGAAGACAATCCTTCTGTAATTCAAGCATTTTCAAGAGGATGCTTGAAATAATTAGGAAAAAGGGCATTGTTCCACAAAAGAGTAACGCAGTAAAACACATAAAATGACACACTCTTTTGATGTGTCTTCAGTTGCCCAGCGATCATAATTTCCTAGAACTTCACCTTTGCCCTCTTAGTGCTGTCAGGAAATGATTGTGGTAGCAGGCTCCCACCCGAGAGGTATGTCAAAAGGATGGTAGAGTAGGGAGGTCCTGAAGTCTCAAACTTGCTCTAGATTTTGAATTTAGCATTTATAATCTTTGGCGAATTCTAATATTTGAAAATGGGTTTTTAAGTTAATGTCACTCCATAATTGGTAATGTATTTTGTTAGTGTATAAATGGGTGCATATTACTGTTCTATATTTACATTTTATCACAAATGTCAAATAGTAATAATTTCTAAAGATTATTTTAAAAATAATGATTGACACAGTCCTTTATTCATTCTGGATTAATGCTAACAAAATGGAATGATGTTAATTAGCTTTTCACTTCGACGCCAAGTAAAGGGAGGAAAAAGTCTATACTAGACAGAAAATCCGACTTTATCAGATTTTAGGTAAGCCTTTACTACAAAGTCTAAAGTTTTTGAGGACTTCTAATTTTTGTAAGACTTTAGGGGTATAATGGGGATACAGTTTCACGTTAAAAGTACTCAACACTGAACACGGCGTAAAGAGAACGCATGATAACTAGCAACGGTCTTCTTCCGCATTCTCAAAAGTAAATCTACAGACAGATCTTCGCCAAGACTTAAAGAATAATTCATTTTGCAAGAAAACTTTGTCCTATTACTGATCGTGTACATTCATTTTAGTAGATTTACCTGTTACAAACATATTATCGGCTCTGTACCTATGAGAGAGTGAGTAATTCTAAAGTCTCTCACTCCACTTTCACTCATTCTATCTAGACTCTAGAGCCAGTATGGATCAGTAGGGCTGATAGAGGGCCTTTGATTTGAGTATCTGCATAGTCAAATTGATAGAGAAGCTATACCTTATTGACAGGAACATTCTTCAGTTTGACGCTATATTAAATTAGAAAGCCATCATCTCATTAAAAGTAGCCTCCATGCCCAATTAGAAAGGTGATGGCCATTTATGGTCTAGAAGCCTATTTTCCTCCATGGTCCCCTTGTTCTTGTGAAGGGTACTTCTGAAGGTGGCACTGAGAAAGGGATCCTAGGGCTCACAGGCATTGCCACCCAGCTGCTCTTCTTTCAAGATCTTGCACTTGTCATGGACTCTTAAGTCTTCATTGAGATTTGTGAACTTTGCTGCTCTTAGAACATTAATACGGACAAACAATGCACACGTTTTGGGAACAGTGACCATTGTATGAATTAGCGGCTGGTCAATGTGTTCTTACAGAAAATCAGAAGAGTGAGTTGATTTTACTTCACTTAGTATTCAATATTGCCATTACATTTTATAAAGTGGAAAATCCTTCTAGGCTGAAAAAACGCTGTATTATAGCACACACTAAAAATAATCTTCCAAGTGCTCAAATGAGTGGTGAGTTAGAAACAGAATCCTGGATCTTCAGTAGAATGCTAGAAAAATACATCTGTTCTAGTAGACAAATGGTTTGTGAAAAATGACTAGAAGCCCTAAGAATTTGAGATACAAAAATAGCGAGGAATAGGTATTGATTATGCAATTAAATTTTTGGTAGACCAACTGAAAAGAGGCGATTTATTTCTATTGAGTTCACCATTATAATTAAATTTGATTATGAATTAAATATTTTAAAGAAATATCTTATTTATTCTTTTGTTAGTAATGCTAAGTCCTAGGTAATAACCTGTTCTAGTGTTACAACTTAATTATACCTGGAAGAAAGAATATTGCTACATATTAGTGGATTGTTGTATCTTATACAAGTATATTATAATATAGATACAGAATGGGGAAAGTTGAATTCCATGACTTAAAAAATTATTTGTACTTTTAATTCACTAACCTAAAAGTACAAGTACAATGAAAAAAGTAATAACTAAAAATGCATAGTGGAAACACTTCTTTAAAACTTCTTGAAACTATTTAATCAGTAAAAAGTAGTGTGCACCCTGAGTTAGAAATACCCAATGAAAGTTCTTCATTGACACAAACGCTGAAGGTAATTTTTAAAGTTGTCTTAGCATTTTTGTGCACTAAATTACCTTTTAATCATTAATTCTGTAAGAATTGTGAAATAAAAGTATAGTAAGAAATACTTTTTAAAACATTAACATAATATGAAGACATTTGTTTATCCAAGTAATTTCTTAATTCTCAATAGCAAAAATGGCAAAATTAAAGGCAAGTCATAGTATGATTCAATAAGGATGGAAAAGAATGCCATGTACCAGGGTCTAAAAAAATGAGACGCATCATTAAGAAGGAATAATGATTTTTTAACTAAAATTTTGAGCAAGCAAGATTTTAACAAATAAAAGGCCTTAGATTTGTTCCAAGGCTTTTTCTAATGAAGGTTCAACTTCATCTTGATAATGACTTGGTTCAAACAGTGGTGCAACCACTGCACAAAGGAACAGCAGAATTTATATCTGCTGTAACACATAAAATGGGAGTGGCCAGGATTGAGTAAATCACAGCAGTCATAAACACATCTCACTCGAGGGTTTCTTCTTTCTTGGAGTGAGAAGAGGTAGTAACGGAAAAGCGTTCTCATTATGTGCTCCAGAGATGCCGCCATACAGGGTGGTTGAGCCAGAGAACTAAGGCACTTCAGTGCATAAGAACAGTAAGTTGTACGGATCTTTCTCCTGTGAGGGTGTCTCTGAGCTAACCCCATTGTTTCATTCCTAACCTGGGGCGACGGGAGTTTCTAGACCCGGTTGCACATGAACAGAGACAGATGCTGAGAATGATGTTGAGAGGTGACCAGAGATTAGCAAGAGGATGACTTAGGTGCCATTGGTCAGTGTGATTTACTTCGAAAGTATCACATGGTGCCTTAAAGCTCATGGAAAAAATAATATCTGAATAGTGAAGAAATCTTATGGTATAGTTTGAAGAGGTATGAGCAAGATTTGGGAAAGCAGCTGACAGTTCTCAACAAGAAAAGTTTTACCTTACTTGATCTTTTCCAACTCTTCCTCATTAGCATTGTCTGCAAATGAAATAAAGCATTTTAATTATCTTTTCACTCAGGTGCAGAATAGGGTTGCCAATTGTTTTCTAGAGGAAATTTAACACATATCAGCAAACAATTTCCAACAACAACTATACAAGAAAACAATTGTTTTCAAAGAACAAGTACACACAACTAGAAGCACCTTTAACATCCAAGCAGTCTTTCTGGTGAGAGTTCATTTACTTTACTCGATTGTACAAAGAAATGGGACAATGAGACAGAAGGGTCAAAATACCTTAATTATTGATCAGGAAAAACTCACTAATTTTCATGATTTGCAATAGTTCCTTTTGGTGGTGGGGGTAGAGGGTATAATCTCTCTCTTTTTCTTCTTTTCCCCAAACACATTCAAAATTTGTTGCTTCACTGGTATCCTCAAACTGCCTCTGCTTGTAAATAATTTTTAGTTAAATTAGGGACTACAAATATTTTAACTGAAAAAAAAGTGATGCATATTGTTTTGGTCAATAGTATATCTTGTTTACCTAACGTTAAGCCAAAACATATTTTTCCACTTCAGTGTGCTTATGTCACAGGAAGAAGTATTCATGGCTGAAACTTTTAATTAAAGTAAGGACCACTTATAGTGGGGTGCCCAAGGTCATCAACTTTTTGCATAAAGCAAATGAATAATAAAAAACTCAGAGGTATAATTTCATATCTTATATTTAAAATATATTTTCATTGAATGCCAAAGAATTAACCTTTCTGAGTAATCTCTATATTCTGTCTGATATTTACTATTATCTTTAAGACATGCCAACTAGGAAATAGGGACTATTTAGAGTAAAATATAGATTATAGTAAGGCTTGTCATGTTTGTGTATCTAGAAGCGCTCTAGTGCCTTCTATATCTACCTTAGCACAATCTACTCAGAAGCAAGACCATTAAATAAACAAATCCTGGATTACATAAATACAAAGAAGAAAGGATTTCAATATAAGGCTAAGTCATATAGAAGCCAACCTTTGGCCTAAACCAAGAGAACAGAATTACATTAAAGTTCTATGGTGGGAAATGAGAAAGTCATACAATTGTGAAAAGTGTGATTACACTGATCTTTTTTGTAGATAGCAATCTTATAGGGTATATATTTCTCTCTATATATATACAGTATATATACTGTATAAGCGCAGGATTAAATATTGACCCAAACATTACAATAGTAATAGATCTTATAAGGTTATAGTAATGCCATGTTTGTTTCTTTGTTTTTTCAAATTGGCCAAAAAATTGAAAGATGTTCTTTTTAAATATTATTATGGTAGGTATTTTTTGCTTTCTAAGTTCTGTTGTGCAATTCATTTTGAAGGAATAAAACCCATTACTGGGATGTGGATATGGACATGTGGTAGACATAGCATAAATGTTTATTGTGGATGTCATATAAGTCATTGCCATCAGGATCATAATCATCATCATCATCACCACCACCACTACCACGATAACCACCATGCCCACCATCATATCCAAAAGGCATTGGGAAAGCAAATAATCTTGTGGTTAGGAAGATTTAGAAACTGTTTAAGAGTCAGTTAATACACGCTCTACTTGCTCAGAAAGCTGAGTTTGAATGGACAAAGAGCTGTAATTCCTAGAGAATGTTTTGAGCCTAATCAAATTGGACAAAAATGAATAAATAACAGGAAAAAAAGGGGGGGGGACCTCTCAACTCATGGTCATGTACCATCAGCCTTTAGCATTTGAGATTCTTGCAATATAAAATTGCATTCTATAAGAGGTCTTATACGAGGAAAAGGGTCTCCAGAACGGTACGAACAGTAGAACCTCATGGAAACACTACTCAGTTACATAACTCAGGGACACTGTTGGTCAATGGAGCCATGACGGTGCAACGGGCTGTGCCTTGAACTGCTAACAGTCAGGTCAACAGTTACTTCCCAGCAGCCGTTCAACAGGAGACAGGTGAAGCCATATGCTTCCTTAAAGATGAGAAGCCTCAGAAACCCCAAGGGGCAGGTCTGCTCTGGTCTAGGGTCACTATGAGTGGAAATCAATTTGATGTCAATGAAGGGTTTTGAGCTGGTCAAAGTCACATCTTCTGACCAGCGGGATCTCTAAGGTCTGGCAGGTTTGGTAAGGGTCCTGGCGACCACGTGAAGGGGGTCACACTAAGCCATCTTAGTAAGCTGGTAGGGCCCAACATCTTTTCTCACGCACAGTAGAGACAGAGGCATTGTTACATGGGGGAAGGGAAGGCAAACAGACAGAAGGAAGTACAGTACTTGCCTCCAGGCACAAGTCCAATGGGGTGTCAGACAAGGAACCACAAATAGGACAGGCACCTGACTGAGGCAGCTGGACAAGGGGTGGAGGACATATCTGCAGACATGTCAACGTCTCTTCACCTTGAAACTGGGCAGGGAAGGGGGGAGGCACACCTTGGAGATTGTCCCTCAGTACTAATTACCCCCACTGCTTGCAGGCTCCTGACTCAGAGCCTGTCTCCTAGATTCACTATGTATAATTAATGTTCTCTATGGAAAGCAAACGAACTACAGAGTTGGTATTTTTCCTGTGTCCTCATTCGTTTTATAAACAGGCTGTATGATATCATTTTTTTCAAAATGGGAAACTGATAAAAACAAAAAGAGATCTCCCTATGCATTAATAGAATAGGTTTTGGTCAGTTAGGGGCTCCAATTCTACCTTTCTCTGATACCATATTTAGAGGGTTCTATGAGTGCCAATGATTGTTTTGGGATCTAGTGACTTACCAAATGGTCTTTGTATTTATAACAACATGTCTACCAGCAAGCTAAGCCATGGGTTTGAAGGTCCCACTCTCAAGCCTCTTATTTTTTGAGAGTTGGGTAAAGGTATATTCACTAAATTCAAAACCATAGAGAAGTTAAAAAAATTTAAAAAAGAAAGAATTTAGCAGATATACTATTAATAGTGTTAGCTTTGTTATCTGTGGGACATGGTGGGGAAGAAAGATTGTTTCGGGAATGTTAAAGATAGAAAGTGTAGCTTATTCTAGAAAAATAAGTTTGATTTAGCTCTATGACCTTAAATTCAGTTGAGAAACATATGAATTTAATTTTAGAAAGTGTTCTTATCAAATATCATTATAGCACAACACAAATGCTCATGTTAAAGCAAATAAAGAGAATAAGTAGCCTATAAATATGATCTGTATTCTATGAGCTACAAAGTGATTCAATTTTTTTAAGATTTCATAATCTCAATCCAGTTTTTGCTTTTCTTTTATTTTAGCAGTATTTTCTTTTGGCAATTTTAGAGCTACTATAAATATTTTTTCAAAACCACAGATGGACTAGAGATGATAGTCCATACCTCTTAGAAAATATTTAGCCCATTATTCATAAGTGGATATTTTCCCAAATGTTGACTGTCTTCTGAAAAATCTGGAATTATTCTGAAAAGTATGGGAAATAAGCCACCGTGAGAAACATGGGTTTTAAAAGTTTATTACCAGCCAACCAGAGCCAATTCATATGTTTCTTCGTCTTCTATTTTTTTAAGCTTTAGCCAAGCAATATGTAGGTCTAAGTTATCTAAGGGAGTGTGTAACACAAATTAACTCACTTTTATCTCACAAATTCTCCAGTGAAGAAATCTGTGGATTGAACTCTGCTAAGAAAAGAGCCAGAAAGAACTCAACCACACGATCAAACACAACATGCCAGCTATCGGACACACACGTATACACTGCACACCTGCGCAGATCATAAGCAGGACATGCACTCGAAACAGGAGTGACACTTGTGCCATGCAGATCATCAAGCATGCCCCCCGTGAAAATTTTGGTTTCCTGTACACACAATGCTGGACACTTTAAAACGTATCTATATACATATATATATACACACACACATATATATATGTATGCATATGGGATCTAGCTTTAAAGACTCAATCATAAACTTAATGAAGAATATTTGAATGCATCCAACTCAGAAACATGTCTGCTGTTTCTCATACTCGATTTCTTAAATTGCTGTAATTAGACACTTTATGTTTTAGAGGCTTTTCAGTACATTCAGTAAACTCATATATTTTCACACAACTTTTGCTTCAGTTTTACTGATACCCCGAACTGGCACTCCCACACAAGGAGAAATCATCCTAGTTGCATTATTCATGGAACAAATTATCAGTATTAACAGCACATAAAAACTCACAAGATAACTGATTTAGAAATCTTAGCACTTTGTGATGCAAAGTATTCGGTATTTCTAAGTCATTTATTTCTTTTCATGGCCTTTTCTTAATGTTAATGTTACGTTCCTGTTTCATTGTTAGGGATTTTATTGTTTAAAAGCTTTTGAAACTCATCCCTTACAGTCTCCATTTTAATACACATAAAATATTTAGCAAAGTTTTATATAAACACAGGCATGAACATGTGGAGTTTGACTAAAGAGTTAAATTCCCAAAGCTTAAATTCCATCTGTGATCATAACCAAAGAGAACAGAACTCTTCTTATAACTTTTCTCCATGAGGGTCGAATGCAAAGCACCCTCTTCCTTTCTGATACAGCATTTTGAATAAATTTAATGGGATTGCAAAGCACAAGCAACTGATTTCTAGTTTGCCACATTTTGAGTTTCTATTTCTCTGAATATGATTTGGCCCAGAGGGGATACTTGGTGAAAATCCAGCATGCCATTTTAACTGCTGCAGTAGGCTAAATATTTCAGGTAGTTTCTATGAAAATCTAATTTGATAATACTTCGGATCTTTGATGGTTTTTAATGAAGAAAGGTCATCTATAGCCCAGGGAAATACACTTAGCCAACACTAGAGAATGGTATAAACCTAAGACAACACAGGGGTTTGGGTCTGTAATGCAATGTCATCCCAAGAAAACTAAACCAGAGCGACCTACCCTGGATTTAAGCAGATCATCCTTAGCCTATGATTCTAAGAACTAAAGACTAGCAAATGAACTAGAAAATGTGAACAATTATAAGAACTAAAAAATGTGAAATAATTCTTTTAACAAGGGTGGTTCTCCTTTGGAGATTTGAATGTTGAAGTAAGAATACAAAATGCCAGTACCTTCTCTTGGTTCTCGGAAGCTTCTCTTGAAACCCTTGCGGTGATTTGGTCTAAACTCACTGGGCAACCACTGGACTCGGGTTGGAGGAGAGCTATGAGAGGAGAGCCATGGAGAGGCCGATGTGCTGACATAATACTTTTTTCAGGTTTCATAGGAAAGAAGTGGGAGTATAGATATATTTTAGGTGGAATAAATGACACTGAAGAAACCTTAGACTTGAGAGAAGGTGAAGTAAGGAGGAGTTTATAGCTAGGAGAGATTCTAAATAAAAGAAAATATGCTGAAAAGAAGAAAGATGAGAAAGCTGTAGAAGCTAATGCAAAGTTTGGCAGATGAACTTTTTTTTTTTTAAACAGATGCCTACAAAGGACCTAGATTGAGTTCGATATCAAAAAAGCTAATAATTAGTATTGATAGTTTTAGAGAATCTAATGAAATAGCTGTAGAATGATTATGTACATATACATATATGTTTGGGATTTTCATAATTTAAAACATACACTTAGAAACCCTGAATTCCATATAGGACATTAGACTAGCTAAGTACCAGACTGATTCTCAGTAGAATTTACTATCATGTGGGAGGGGTCTTCTAGCCCTTTTCTCCCTCCTTTTGACCCAGTTTGCTACTCTACAGTCTTTAGTACCTAAAACAGTCACACTGCTCACGCTTCTCTCTGTTTCCTCAGGTGTGCCTGCTGTCAAGGTGGAAATATGAGGAAATTCACCAGTCAGATACCCGCCCTGGAACAGGCTGCAACCACTGTGGCTCTTCTGAGTCCTGGCTAAACAGCTGGCTTCTTTGGCGAAGAAGAGATGCTAGCTGGGAGTCAATAACCACACCAGGGAAGAAGCCACCCCTGTTTCGACAACCCAAAGGAATGAAGTCCAGTGTTACCCTGAACTCTGAGAGTAGGGGGCGGGGAGGCATGAAGCAGGCAGTGGAAGAACATCACATGACAGTGATAGATTGCTTCCCAAAAACTGGGTCAAAGGGATCAGAAGCAAGGAAATGGCATAAGGATTTCAAGGGAGACTATTTGTACTAAGGGTTAGCGTGGATGGACAATGAAGAGAAGAAAGAAAGGGATATGAATACAACTAGCTTTTGATGTGTAACTGCCTGATGAAATGCCATATATCCTCTTTCTTATTTGTTTGATAACCTAGTAATGAACAGCTCTCACCACATAATAACTATAATTCTCCTTTAATTAAAAAAAGAAATTGTGCTTAAAAGTAAGTTTGGACTGCCATGGCGATGGAAGGGTTTTAGAGAGGAAGGCTGGTTTGGGGAAATGAAATATAATGGAATCCACCTTTCCTGTGCCCACATCTCCGAGACCAAACTCACCGCCATGAGGCCAGGCTGGCTCAGAGCGGCCCTAGAGCAGAGGGGAGATGTGTGCCTGTGGGTTCCAAAGACTGTAACGCTTCATGGGACTAGACAGGGTCATCGTCCTCCTGGAGGGTGGCTGGTGGTTTTGAACTGCAGACCTTGTGGTGAACAGCCCAATGCAGAATTCATTACGTCACCAGGACTCAGTGCTGGCATATAGTGGGTATAATTTAGAACAATTTAGCAGAGTCATCATACGATCTCTTGATGATAACTTGCTCCCTAGAACCCCCAGTTTTATTTTAGAGTACTTAATAAATAACCCTTTAACGTAGGAGCTCAGCAGACTATCGATAATCAAATCACCAAGTAACTCTTCCTTTCAGCCTCTGGTAATATTGCAAATTTGGAGCACACAAGACCTCACAGGATTTATATAGTTTTACTTAGGATGGTTTGTCTTTATTAATGTATAAGAAACCCCCCAGGCAGGAATAATACTTTATATTTTATTGATTTTACTTCCATATCTACCTCTGAGAGCCCGAATCCAAGCCTCTCATCTTTCAGCATCCAGTAGCCCCCTAACTGATCTCTAAGCATTCATTTTACAGCTTTAATTTTTCCTCTTTTACAGCGTTGACACAAAAATGTTTTTAAAAGGTAAATATGCTCATGCTGCTTCCTGTTGACAGACCTTTCAATAGCTCCCCATTGCTCTTTGAGAAAAGACCCTAACGTAAGTGCAACGTGGTCTGGGCAGCTAGCTCCCTTCCATTGCAGGGTCAGCATGTGCGCCGACGCCCACCGTCTCTCGACTCCTGGACTTGGAATACAGATAATGTCTCTTACCAGGGGGCCTTGCTATGTACTGCTCCTTCTGCTTGAAACACTTCTCTTCCTGGCTTCTGCTGTACTATCGCCTACTCGTGTTTCTGACTTTTATTTTCTCAGAGGTGCCTTGCCTCTCTACTCTGTGCTCCCTGACAAGAACAAACACGTCTGCTTTTTGGATGTACAAAAAAAAAAGCTATCCCTCTTGTCCCGCTTTCATAACAGTCTATTTCTGACGTTTTCACTATTGGATCTGAGTGCTGTTATAACTAAAGTATCTACTATGAAGCCTGACTTATAGAAGATGTTGGTGAATATCTAGTTTACTTAAAGTAAAAACTGAACATTCATAATTTATTCCTTTATATGAATTAGCCAGTGAGGGAATAGTTGTTGGCATATGCTTGATAAAATTATGTCTTCTGAGGGCTAACTTCTAAAATGACAAGATTCCATGAATAATTTCCCTTTCTAAATATGCTCTGTATTTTTTCCCCCACTAACCTTTCCATGCATACCCATGTGCTATGCGTCTGCCCACATAGGAAATTTCATCATGCTCAATTCTCACACTAAGTCTTATCAGGAAATACTTGCTGGAAAAGAGATATGTCTTTACCATGGTGAAGCCTGGCTCCTTAAATTAGGCTTAGCAAATATTGTATGTTTTTAAGTATCTACATGCATGGCATTATACATATACCAATCATTGTGTAATCTTTGCAAAGATGGAAAGAAATACTTGTAGAAAAAGGGTGACTTTTTCAGTGACTTTAAAACACTTCAAAAGTTTGGTCTTCTCATTCATTATTTTATATACCATCTAGGAAAAAATGTCAGTCATACCTTTACAACAGATACTATATAGCTATTTTAATCGTGCTTTACTCTAAGACAGCAATATACATGATGCTGAGATCTACTTAAGCAAACTTAAAGTCAACTACTAAAATGTGTTAAAATTTGATCAGGGTAGAGTAGCTCCCAGGTACATGAAAGAGCAATGAGTCTAAGACACTACCTCTGGACAGCAGAGGCGTGAGCGCATTGGCAAGCATACTGATGTAGGTCCCAGCTGATATTTTTCATGCCACTTCATCAGTGCTGGAACAATTGCCCCCACCGTATCCCTTGTCAGTTCCCTCACAGCAGGGTGTGCATGGACGCCAGTACCGAAAAATGGGCCATACCAAAATGGAAGGCCAACAAGATAAAGAGGACTCACTTATCATTCAGCAAACACATGTCAAAAAGCAGAAACTCTGTTATGATTTCCTCTGATTTCCTTGGGTATGATACACCTGAGACTATAATCGACATAGAAGGGTCTGGACACCTCCATGTGGAATTCCAGATGGGCAACTCACTAATAAAGGCATCCCCCAAATGAATACTGCTATGTGTCCAGCATGTAACACATCTAAATGTGATAGACAGCATTACCAAAGAAGCAAATATGTCCCTTAGTGACAAGTGGCTCAGATCTGGAGTATGGAACAGGGTACGGGATTTCAAAAGGTACAGTAAGTGTGAATAGCAGGACCCAGGATACTCACAGAAACAAAGGCCAAGGCCAGGCGTTCGTGTGCAACATCTCTTTATTATCACCACTATCCAAAGAGGGCTCACAGCCTTCACTTGGTGAGAGCAAGGGGAGCCTCTGCTAGGCTTTGGGGAGACTTACCACATCTCTGGGTTCTCCTTCATTGGGGGTCAGAACAACGGAGAGCAAAATGACTCCAAGGTCGTGGTCGGGATAATGGGGATCTTTCAGAGTTAGGGTCACATCCTTGGGCCTGTAATATGAGACGTTTAGAATTTGAACATTCAATGAAAAGACAAAATCTGTATTTCATACTTATTTTCTTACACTCCATATGAGGGCAAAGAAAACATTGCTGAAAACCATAGAACTTTTATTAAACAAAAAAATATCAAAATGTGAAGCTAGTTCCTGCCCCCCCCTCCACCCGCCCATGACAGAACCTCCAACTAGTTCTAAACACTGAAGGTGGTGCTACTAATCACTCCAGCCCATTCCTGAAGCATTCTGTCCTCCCGTATGCCATGTCAAATGGACAGTTTGGGCATTATGGAAAGGCTCAGATTGTTCCTTTTCAATGATCTCTGAGTTTGGGGAACACAAAGAAATCTGAGAGGAAAAATTGAGACTGTTGGGTGGATGAAATAAAGTTTCCTAAGGAAATTCTCATAGGACAGTCCTTGCTACTGAGGAAAACTGAGCAGGCATATTGTGATAGAGGGAAAAAAACAACAACAAAACTCCTAGCTGCAGCTTGTCCTGGCTCCCCCCTACCCCCCCAACGCAGGTCTCTAGCTCCTTATAGCTTTTCCCCAAAAATCTCCTGTTATCATCCTGTCCTTGGAGAAAATCTCTCAAGGGTTCCCCTTGAACATCCTTACAAACACTCACCATAAACTTCTGCTCTGGTCAGATCAGAATGTAACTGGCCCAGCAGATCTCTTACAAGGCACTGATTCTGATTGGATCTGACTGGATAGATTGTATTGATAAATCTCTAGTTACAACTTAGTCCATAAAACCATCTTCATTAGCTTGGATCTTGCTTGAAAAGCTGAGCTAGCCAATCTTTTCGTAACACTTTTTTTTAAAGTATCCTGTACTTTTGAAGACCCTCTCAGACAAGTGTATTACTGAGAGAACTTGTCTACAACCACCCATTGAATGCACAAACATGTTTAAATGTATATTTTAGAAATACACTTGTACATGTCTGAGCTAGAACCCCCATAGCAATGTAGTTGGACTTATATTCATATAAATTGCTGGCACATGTTCACATAAATAGGATTTATTCTTTTTATAATGTCTTCCTTTATTTTCCTGGCACAACTTTCATTGTTATCAAAATACTATTAATGCATCCTCTTATCCAGTAGACTTTGGGTCCACTGGTTAAACCGGAATGAGTGGGAGAGTCTCTGATCTCCATGACCTTCTGGAACATTGTTGCCATGGCCAAGAAACTACAATAGTTTTTTAAACCTGCAGTAATACCTAGTTTCTCTAAGCTTGAGTCCACAGTCATTCGCTGATCACTGCCAAAATGTTGGTTCTTTATGCTTTTCTCTAAATGCAGATATATGTTGCAAAGAGATGGGTAGAAGAAAATGGAAATGTAAGATAGAGGATATGATTTGTTTGATCTATATTGAACATATTTTGGATAACATTATATAATTAATTAACGTGATATTCAATATTTATAATATCACTTCTATTTCTTTCCTTTCTCTTTCTCCCCCGCCCATCCCCCCACTTTTAAGCCAAAGTTTAAGCCTATGCTTCGGCAGATTTTAGAATGGAAGGCAGGGAAATCAGTACTTGAAAGAGTTGAGTAATAGAGGTTGGAAATTAGGTAACAATCTCTGAAGGAGAGATTACAAATAAGTTATCTCATCCACAGTCAGTTTTAGGAAAGAGTGTAAAATACACTTCCACTGACAATGAGTAACATCTTGCTTGCCTATTTCAAATAATTTTGAACAAATAAGGGTTAATATGCATCATAAATGTATGAGATTATGGAATGTTCAGCATCCACCAAACAAAATATTTTGGAAGCACTGGTAAATAGGAACATTTTCTTCCTTGTTCAGTCATTCACTTATTTCATAAAATATGAACTGAGCCCATGTGGAATACTTGGATAACACTCTACTAGGTTCTGGGTCCAAACCACAGTAAGATATCTCTTTGTACTCTGATGCTTATTTGGTACTGGGGGCTGCTGGTTGAGTGGAAGTTAGTGGAAGATACTTGATTCAAAGAATAAGTTCACAACCCTTGCTGCATATCAGAACCAACTGGTAAACCTTTTAAAAGAGTCTACACACGAAGTCCATCCCTGAAGAACCAGGATGGGGTTCAGAAAGCCACTTCTTTATGACTTTCTGCATGGGCTTTGCTTAAACAACCAGGATTGAGAACCTTTTTTTCAGTGCTCAAACTATATGATACCAGGAAACTCTTCCACACAATGCTTAATTTACTGAATTAAGAAATGACACAATGCAAAACATGAACTAGTTTCTGAGTTGTGAGTTTTGACTGATAATATATGCTGTCACATTGATAGTCTACATAAACAATGGTAGTTATAATGCCAATTGCTCTGATATGAATTTAGCTATAAGTAATCATCATGGCTTATTAGCAATAAAATGTTTTTTGATCTTCTAATTTTTAGCAAAAACACACTTACATGTATTATAGACATTATGGAACATGTATGTGTGGGGTAACAATTCGATTTGGTTCACTGTCCTATAATGATTACATATAAAATTAATAGAAAACTTTAATTTTACATTTATAAGGATTACCTGGAAAAGACTCAAAAACATTTGTGATTACTTTATGACCCTTCTCTATGACTTCTCTATTACTTAAAGAGATAGCCCGAATTATATTATATTATACCTCGATGCATTAGTAAAGTAACACAAGTATTTATAACACTACCAATAGTATCCATCGTTTTATACCTAGATACTACTGACTAGATACATAAAATTTAATGTGAGATTTAAAAAGTGGTAATTTGATACTTGGTTTGGACGAGAAGTGGCTAACTAAGGACATAAATAAGTAAGGTGGCAAAAGAAACAGCAAGTACGGTTTAATTTCTCAGTTATCCTATACTTTTTCCATTTAAAGTAATTTTCACCAGCATTCTACCTTTACCAGATGACAAGAGAAATGTATGTCCTGTGATCGAGTAATGTATATCTCTTTATGCAGAAGTCACAGAGAAGATAACTGGGGCCCCTTTAGAAGAGCCCTCTCTGTTCTAGCGTCCGCTCAGGTTCCGTGACTATGGATCAGGTACCATGTACCTAAGGCACTTCCTTCAGCTGGGGGGGCGGGGGCGCAACCTCCTGAATTCTATCCTTCCTGCAGGCTGGTAAGGAGGACCTGCAGGGAGGACAGAAAACCATTCTCTTCACCAGCCGGAGGGAAATCTGCCCACCAACAAGCTGCTGCTTGGGCTTGACGTTCTCACGGCCACTCTGTTGATTAGCTGGGTACAAAACGTCAGAGAGTTCTACTCTTGATATTTCCCTATCACCCAAGCTTACAAAATATAGTTATCTGGCCTGTCCTTCTGTCTTTATTGTCCCTGTCACATAATATGACCAACGAACACCATCAAAAATTCTATAGTTGGCTGCACAATTTCTTCTAGGACTGCTTGGCCTTCTATTAAACCCTTTTCTGCCCTTCCTGCACTACTAATGTAGATTCTTAATGCTGACATTGAAATGCATTTCAAAATAATTAGATGCAAGAAATAATCACTATTATCAATAATGGACTAATACAAATATTTAAGCAATGATACACTACTATAATGGAGCAAATGTAATTAATATGCCTCCTTTTTATGAGCAATCCTTAGCAATCTAGGCTGATGGGTGGTAGAAAAATTAGAATTCCCTTCAACTCAAGGGATACAAGTTCTTGATTTTGATGTGAACTGTGCAAACTTTATTTCATATATAATATTCTAGCTCTCAAATTAATCACTCTGATTAAAGGGCACAATCTTCATTATGCCTCACTACAACAACATGTTCTTAATAGCATCTAACGATAACCATAAAATCACAGGGGCCAAACCAGATTGAGGAATGCATCTTTTTTCCCCACATTGCTGGGGGACAGAGCAGGTGTCCATGAACGTTTCAGTTGAATCAACATTGCCAGGTGAGACTGGCCGAGGAGATGCATCCTTCTTAGAGTGTCGTTGAGAAAGTTGCACTCAGACACTCTTCCAGTAGAAAGGCTAAGAACTAGTAAATGGCCGAGCAGCTGCAGAATCCGATCTGAGCAGCAAGGTGCAGCATGATGCCAGCGGGTCAGGGTTACCTTTTCAGCTCCAACTGAGTGAGATCCAGAAAGGCGGAGCCCATGAAGTCATCCTGCAGTCCAAAGTCATAGTCAAAGACCTAAGCGAACCGAGAGAAAGAGGCTGTTGTCGGTAATTCCAATGTCCGTTTTAAATGATGACAAGATATTGGTCGACGGTGATTCCAAAACAATGAAACTTCGTAATATTTACCTTTGAATTATTTTATTTGTTACAAAACAGTCAAAGGATATTAAATGTCATTTTGTTTAGATAAAATAATGGATCAGTCTCAGACATTCGAAAAGAAAATGAATGCCACAGTCAAAAACACAATACAGTAGACTTTTAAAAAGTGTAGGTAACTTAAGCTTAGAAAAAGGATTCCCCATGTGACAGAAGGGCTATTAGTGCTACTGGAAGATAAAATGAGTCATTATAGAATTCCGTAAATGTGTGTTTCATACTGAGCTATTGTACGGATAAAATGAGGACAGACTGCAAGTTTCCTTATAGTCTTAAGGTCGTTGAAGATACATTCTCAAACATTTCAAATCACAAATAAGGGTATTTTAAACACACAAGTAAAACTTATTAAGATATAATGATTTAAAAGCACTGTATAAATTATATTACAGTCAAATTAAAATTCTTAAATACGTATTACTGGAGGGAAGTATAATGTACTAAAGACAGCAACAACATGGAGGAAAAGAAAACAATACAGAAAAATGTATTTCTTTTTTGCAGTTGACATTACTGAATGCATATCTTCTGCGTGCCTTGTTTCCTGTTGTGCTCTGAGAGAGCGTGGTGCGTCAGAGATCGCCCCTCACCTCCTGCAGCCCAGATTTTGGAGCTAAGAGTAAATAGATAGCCGAGTGATGGGTGGGAAGGAAACATATGTCTAAGGGTTGCGAGGGGAATTGTCGTTTTAGCTAGGGATTTCTAAAGGTTATTCTGAGGAGATGTGATTGTGTAGAGACGGAATGATGGGGAGAGGCACCTCAGCAGAAAGGCCTGGTGATCTATTGCTGGAAAATCCATCATTGAACATCCTATGACGCACAGTTCTGTTCTGACCCAGGTGAGTCTGAATCCCAAAGTATGAGGAAAAGTGCTCCAGACAAAAGATAGGGAAATTCCAGGTTCAATTGGAAGTCAGCATGATGGAAGCCGAGGGAGCAGATGGAGAGTGAAAAAAAATGAGGTCAGAAATTTCAGAGTTCGCTCACTTACCACTTACGACCCTTATCAAAAGACTCTGAGTAAAGGGGATTTGGCTACTGTTCATCCACCGATACTTTTCTCCAGGCAATCTTGAGTAAGCACGTGTTATGTGCCAGATGCCCGGCTTGGCATCGAGTGAAGGAATGCAAACACACTGGCCTTGTCAAGCCTCACAGGTCGGGGGGAGATGGCTAGATGCCCACGTGCACAGGCAATGCACAGTGAAGTGCAATGAGCTCGCCAAGGAGAAGAATAAGCTAGCACAAGATAAGGCAGGGGAGGGTAAGGAAAGCCCTCAAGGCCTGGAGTTCGCAACAGCTCTGAAGGGAAAACATTTGTAGTGTGCACGACAGTAAATGAGCAGAAATGGCCAAGTCTGTGCTCAACGGGTTGTGCCAGGCCTTTGGCCCACCTACGACAATCTATCATGCCCATATGCCAGCATTCCTGGGACCAGTTCTTGGCACAACAATGAGAAAACAAGCAGTAAGCAGAGAGAATAGCATGTGCAGTGACCACCTTCAATTACTTTTTTTTTTCTTCTCCTGTGGTACAGGTGTGTACTTCAATTTAAAAAAAAAGTGTCAATACTCAAAATTTACACAAAAAATAAATACTTTGAATTACGAAAGGATTCTCAAAGTTGAAGAGTCACAAAGGGGTTTGCTTAAATAACAAGCTCCCTTAATGTCTTTTAAATTCTTCAATCTACAGTCATTTGACTTACATACAACCTTGCAGGAGTATGTTTGCTGCAGAGAGAACAGAAATCCTGCAATAAGTATTCTCCTCGATCAGTTACACTTCCGAGCTGTAGGCATTCACCCAGGTGAGGGTAGAGGGAGAGTGGGTTGGAAAGGGGGAACTGATTACAAGGATCTACATGTGACCTCCTCCCTGGGGACGGACAACAGAAAAGTCGGACAGGGCAAGATATGACAAAATAATAATTTATAAATTATCAAGGGCTCATGAGGGAGGGGGCAGCGGGGAGGAAGAGAACAAAATGAGGACCTGATGCCGGGGGCTTAAGTGGAGAGCAAATGTTTTGAGAATGATGAGGGCAATGAATGTACAAATGTGCTTTACACAATTGATGTATGTATGGATTGTGATAAGAGTTGTATGAGCCCCCTAATAAAATGATCTAAAAATTTTTTTTTCTTATTCTTGTTAGTTTGTTTTCATGTTTTTCTGTAAATAAAATGCTTCAGCTGGCAAGGCTCACTTCCTGCAAGACATCCCTGAGGAGAAGCCACATGGACCTACCCTGATGCAGCCCTGGGTGCTGGAGCAGCCGTGTGGAGACCCCTGCCAGCCCTGAGATGCTTACACATTCACTGGTTTGGCTTTCCTCCTGTAGTCGGTGTCATTGCGTGTGTTTTGTGAGATGGAGAAGGACTTTGTGGATTGGTGTTGGACATATGGGTTAATGGGTTAATGTTGGACTTGTGGGCTTGGGCAGCACTGGGTTGGGATGCTTTCTTAATGTGCACTTACCCTTTATATAAAACTTTCTCTTATACATATGAGTTTCTGTGGATTTGTTTCTCTAGTCTACCCAGACTAGCACAGGAATCCCATGATATGGACAATCAAATTGAGTGATTCAAGGTAAAGACCTGCTTTACTGTCCCGTCTTTCAGACTACCCTAATGTAAGGCATTTCATTTTCCATATTTATTCATTACCAAGAGCATAAACATGCAAAATAATAGAAATGCCAGAATTTATTTAACATTGGAATTATTGGCTATGCAACTTGATCCCAAGTCATAAAAGCATTTCTTTGTCAAAGGAAAAACTGTTCTAAGTGAAGTTTCAGAAACATAGAGCCTAGAAGAGAAATTAAAATGAAGAGGATACTCTCACTATAATTACAAGTACATTTAACCCTTATTAATGTTTGTTCAATATTGCTTGCGAACCATGCACAGTGTCAAACATGCTATATAGATGATCTAATTTACAACTCAGTGAACAAGATATTATTATTCCCATTTTCAGACAGGAAATGTGAAGCTTAAAAAGCCTGTGCCTGCCCCCACACCCGGGGGCTAGGAAGAGGCCCTTTTTGTTGAAGTGTTGTCCTTTTTGTTTTCAGAAATAGTGCATGTCGAAGTTCAACACATTTAATTTGGGCACTGTGGTGCAGTGAATTGCCGGACACACCTTTCTAGTCATGGTTCTTGTGACTCCCAACAAAAGACTTGGTAGGTCCGTGCAAATTTGATGTGTTTGTGGCCGCCAAAGGGAAAGGAGCAATTTATTTATAATGTGAATAAGATACATGATCCCCTTGTGGGGTGAGCCTGCGCACCAGTGCGTAGACCCCGATCATGAGGATTGGTCAGTTTTGCCATCCTACTAGGTCTACAAGGGGCCATTCCTCAGGCGAGAGAGCGGGAGATCTTCCTACCATGAAGAAAGGGGAGTTAAGAGTGGAGTGTGTTCTTTGCCCCCCATTCTTGCACTGAACTTCCTTGAACCTGGAGAAAGCAAGCTGTGAGCCCCCAAATGGTGAGAGACCGAAACAGGCAGCCAAGCCAGCAGTGTCCGCAGAGGTGGTAGAGTCAGGGGG